GGACTAGTGGCCTTTAAATATCAAAGTTTTCACCAAGTATCCAAAACTCTAAAGAAACTCGGCATGATTTTCTAAAGTTGGAGAATTGTCGTGGCCACAGTAGAAAGAGAGGAATTGCAAATAGTTAATATCAACCTGACATTTGGAGTTACATATAAAATTGACAAAATAATAATAATAAAGAAAACGAAAAGGAAAAATGCAGTGTCTGGGACTACCATTAGAAGATGGTTTTAGAAAGAAAACGTCATACCAAGATGTTGATGAAGCTTAGGATCGACAGTTTTAATTATTTGTGACAACGTACTCAGCTGAGACTGCACTCCTATTGTACCAGTAGTGCACCTAAAGTTTTCTCTCTGCCATAGGGAACAGGGGGAGAGAATGGAGTATGAGAACTATAACCTGGAAAAAAGGCCTTAAATGTAATAGATTATACAATTTACAATATTGCGCATTTCATTTAGTCTTTGTAGAATAGTTTCTAATTTGGTCCTTAAACTTTTATGGTTGTGGACTTAGTCATTATACTTTAAAAAGCCTTTAAACTTGCAATTTTGTATCCAATAGATCTGTCATTAGTTTCATTAGTTTAACGTTGATGTGGTACACTGACTGAACTATTTAAGAATATGCTAAAAATCAGCCCGCTACATGATTACTATTCCTGCAAAGGCTGCCAATAAACAATCTTGAGAGAACTTTAAGGGATATTAGATCTTGAGAGTTTCAAGCAATAAATCTTGGCCGGTTATCAAGTATTCAAGTCCCACCAATTCAAAGGGCTATGGGCAGCGATACAAAAGTTTACTCATCTTATAGACACAGTATCGTGTGTAGTAGGTTGTGCCAATAACAACTTTTTGAACGACCAATGGACAGAAAATATCACTCTATCACACGATTTCCCCAGACTATGCCCTCGCCACTTCCAAGACAAATATCCTAAAAAGATAGAAGAATTTGGAAACTGGGAAGACAGTTTTCTTTAAGCATGACCCTTAAATTCACTTGCTCTGTAGTGGAATTTGAAAAGACAAATATCCTAGCAAGATAAAAAATTTCAAATGGGAGCTTAGCCACAGTAGCATCAATACCCAAGAAGTTATTCAAAGAGGACTCCCCTCTCTTGCCAATTCTCCGACCTAGTGTGTTATGTGCCTGAAAGATTCGGAATCCTAAGGGCATGGTATGAGTTTGTTAACAAATTTTGGAACATGGTGCTATCCTCCTAATGGCAGACCCCCTTACTCATAATATGAAAATGATAGGCCCCAAATCACGAAGATCTATAAATGCAAGAGCATGAGGGGTGTTGGTGTTGAAGTACCAATAAATGGTTAAATCTCATCAGTTTATACTTTTGGGTTTGGTGATTTAACATGGTATCAAAGTAGGAGGTCCATGTTCGAACCTTTATAATAACATTTCCTTCTCAATTAATATTGATAGCCACTTAGGGTCTGTGAGGTATCTCCTCACAATGCTTTTGGAATTCAACAAAGAACCCGAAGGCGATTACAAGCAACACTCCACCAATTCGAGAGGGTGGATAACTCTCCCTACAGCTACCTTGAGGTAATAATTTCCACCATCCCTCTATCACCCTCTCGCAAGTCTATTTCTACCATAATCTAACCAACCTCACGACTCTGGGCCCCAGTCTCTCTCCAAGCCGTTATTCTCCCTCACTCCCTTGATTATTCTCCTCTTCCTAGTACAATTCCCTTCCTACCCCTTCTAGAATATGTTTTAGTTACTGGGGGTTTAACAACTTCCCCATCATTCAGAACCACCTTGTCCCCAAGGTGGAAATCAGGGAATTGGTGAGGAATCTTCTCCCAAGTAGCATCCTCTGGTGGCAAGCCCTTCCAGCTAACAAGGGTCTCTTCTTCTCCAGTAGCTTCATTAACACCCGTGGCAAAAACCTTGTCAGGAACAGCCAACCATTCCATGTCTTCGGTGAGGTATGGTGGGATAGACTGCACCTCCCAACCCGAACCTTTAACTGGTTTCAATTGCGACACATGGAATACAGGGTGGATGGCAGCTGAATCGGGCAAGGCAAGGCGGTAAGCCACTTTTCCAATGCGCTGAGTGATTTCTAAGGGACCATAAAATTTTGCCACCAGCTTCTCGTTCCTCTTCTTAGCCAAAGACTTCTGTCTGTAAAGGCGAAGCTTCAGAAGAACCATTTCCCCCACTGAAAATTCTCATTCTGTTCTTCGTGCATTCGGATACTTCTTCATCCGCCCCCGTGCTCGAGTCAAATTCTCCTTAAGTACTGCTAAGGCCTGATCTCGATCAAATAACTGACATTCGAGTGTGTCATTGGTAGCTGGCGAAGAGCCATAGCTGAGTAACAAGGGTGGTGTACGTCCATCTAAGAAGCACAGACACGGATACGGGACACGGACACGGACACGATAGGACACGCCGATACGTCAATTCCTAAAAAATTAGGACACGGACACGTTGGGGATACGTTTATTTTTTTAATATTTTTTAGGATATATGTAAATTTAACACAAAAAATGCTAAATACAATGAAATGCATAAATATGAAGTCAATTACATCCTTCAAACAAAAGTTAAAAAACAAAGTTCCAAAAGACCATTATAGTGACAAAACAAAGAAGGGATGTAAAAGAGGATTGTTTTTATTAGAGTTTACCTAAGAAAAATGAAAAACAGAGGCAGGAAACAGAGACGGAGGAGTTTACCTAAGGAAAAAAAAAA